TCATACCTTTCAAAAAGACCATCACGTTTCAGCTTTTGCAGAGTGGAATTTAGTCTTTTCTCTGACAACTCACAATTACTGGGGAGAGGAGGGTGACCATCCAACCAAGGAAGACGAATCTCGTAGCGGCCCATCTTGTCTACACTTACAGTCTGCATAAAAAAATCCCTAGCAGCTAAAGCAGCCTCCTCTTTGGTATGTCTATCTGTAGGCTCTTTAATACCAATTGCTTCCAACTCCCAAAGCTCACTTAAGGAAGCATCCTTTATGAGAAGATTCAATGTGGACATGACAACATCAGAATGTTTACTACTTGTAGGTATTTTTCCCATAAGTGTCCATCCAATGAGAGTTTCTATAGCTACTAACCCACAATCTAATTTATGACGACCCCCTGTATACAAATAACCAGCGACATCTGCTCCCAATAACAGTTCAATTGGGCCAGGTTGGAGATCATCAGATAAATCAATATTAAGGTTCTTGGCTTGTTCCCTCCATGGACCATGAAATACTGGAGCTACATCACTACAAATTGTTGGTTGATCTAAGGCCTCAAAACAATATGTAGAGTTCTTACCCTGTATTGTTACCTCATAACAGTTATGAGAGTTTGCAACTTCTGACCCTCCAAACAGACAATGAACAATTTTTTCCTGTCGTTTAACCGGATAATCTAATTTTAAAGCTGTGTCCTTTAATATATATGATCTTTGTGACCCACTATCAATTAAGGCACGAACAACTCGACTTTTACCAAAGATACCAATTAAAGTGACTCTCAATGTTTGCAAAAATACATGACCTTTAGTTTGGTTAGTCAAAGCCTGGTCGTTTATGACATCCTTAGAAGACATGTTCTCATTTTGACTATTACTCGGCTTACCTTGACTTATTGTTAAACTGGGACACATCAAGACTACATGAGCTTGGCTACAGATAACACATCTTAGCCTTGTTTTACATCTTTTGGTCTGATGTCCCACTTTTAGACATCTAAAACAAGCCTTCTTCCCAATGAGAACATCCTTTTTTTGAACAAATGTCATTTTTTGTGCCTTAAAGCAATCTTCACTACCATGTGTACCTGAACAAAAGACACAAGCTGATATTTCACAATTAATTAAATTAGCAGCAGTTGGAAAACCTGATGACCTCTTGACACTAGCTTTAGAGGATGAAGCCACTTCTTCAGACAGTCCAAAACCTTCAGCAGCTAAAGCAATCCTTTGTTCATTCTCTACTTCATTTCTGAGAAAAGTCATCAACAGTTTCAACCTGTTTTCCAATGTCCCATCTCTATAATCAATATTTGTGGAGCGTTGCCACACCCTAAGCAATTCCTGAGGTAAACAAGATTCAATTAATGGAAAGAGCATTGCTGAACACTTGTCAGATGTGATACCTAATGTCTCCAGTGCTCGCAGTTGAGTTTCAATGCTGTCATACAGTTTAGATATATCAATCTTTTGTTTAGACACAGACTTACTCAAAATGAGTTTTAGTAACTCTCTAATGTATACTTCTATTTGTAAGTCTTCTCTGCCAAACCTGCTTTGCATACTTTCCATAATTTTACTATAATTGTCAGCCATAGCTGGATAGCTTTCTACTAGTTGACGTGCTCTACTACCTGGTACTGTGGCTTGAATTAAATATTCTATCTTATCATGACAATCAATAGAATCATCCTCGTGAATCTTTTTGAATTGTGCCCAGAATGCCAACCAACCTTTGATACTGCCATCATATTTTTTAAATTCAATAGTAGGTAATCTAAATTTTCTCATACCTGTTAGTTGTGGCTCATCTGTATTCTGGGACACTACACTATGCCTGCTGGATGCTTCAGTCTTCGTTTCTTCCATCAGCTTGTTATATCTGGTTCTACATTTGGAAAACTTTCTCAAATACACATCACAACTCTCTATCTCTGCTTCTAGCTCCGCCTCAGTAGAGCTTTCAAATGATAATTCAGTAATTTGGGAATCAACTGACTGTAACTCCTCAAACTTACATTTTAACAGTTCCCAGGACACTTCTATTGACTCGTAGTCCAATGGTTCTGCTTTCATAAGACCTTCTAACTCGTTGGCCGTACGCGTAAAAATAGCCCTTAATACTCTTCTGGTTTTCTTTCTATTTTCCAATTCTGCTGCCATAGTGCGTTTGGTTCAAAACCACCGAAACGTTCTCAATACAAATCACAAACCAAAGAACGCGGTAAAAACTCACTGGCCCACAACTACAAAAGTCACACCGAAATCCAACTCAAAAAGTCCTGTCACGGTCGCCACAATGTCGCACCACCAAAAAACTACCCGTTTTAAGAGGTTTGCGTATGTTGGATTTGGTTTTATTTGTATACATACAGAATTAGTTACAGTTATTTAAAATTATATTTATTGACATACTTGCAATAACAACACAACTTAACATTCATAGCATACTTCATAGTCTATTATTTTTCTTCTTTTTCGTGGCCCAATACCACTAAGCCTTTCATCCACCAAATTGTTTCAAGTAAAGGTAATATCTGACTTTTTTATCTTAAATTTTTAATTTTAATTCTTCTGCTAATACTTACATATGTATATTACTTTAGCCAATATGGTCAAGTTAATTTTAAGTTTACATTATTATATCTTTTATTGTATTTTTTATACGGACTTCAAACTTTATGTAAAGTGGTCAATAAACGTTCTATCTATCTATTACCACTCGGCTGGTAATACATCCTACTTGTCAAGACAAGCATGTAACTGTGGGAAATTATTGTAATATGATAAGTGATAACCACCTATTTAATTGACTTATTCTTTAAGGGTAGTGTCTTTTGGCATCGCTTTTATTGCAAATCGGTTGAGTTTACCGAAAGTACAAGTTGAATATAGCCGCAAATGTCAAAAATATTTCGGTTTGGCAGTGTTGGCATGTTTTTATAATGCATATGTTGTATGCTTCAAATTTAAAGAGATAACGCTTTTAAAAAGTACATTTTGAATATACTATTTTATGAATTCTGCAATTTTTAATTTATATAAAGCAATAACGAGTAGATATTTGTCTCTTTCGAGATTAATTGCAAACATCTGTTGTAATCTGGCAACTGCGGATTTGACGATTGCCAAATCTATCCCCTAATCTATCAAAGGGTAATTGCCAAAAAAATTTCTAATAATTAACTGCAATTAATCTCCAAAGAAACAAATATTTACTCATTGTTGTTTTATATAAATCAAAAATTGCAGAATTTATAACATAATATAAACAAAATGTACTTTTCTAAAGCTTTATCTTTTTAATGTCTGAAGCATACAGTACCTACATTATAAAAACATATCAACACTGCTATACCGAAATTTTTGTTCCATGTTTGACATTTGCAGCTATAATCAGCTTGTACTTTCGGTAAACTCAACCTGCAGATCACACAAGTCAATTGTTCTGCCATAATTTATTAATGTATATTGTTTATATGAATATATTAACCAACGACCTTAATAACAATTGTATTGCAACACGTATCTCAGTAAAGATAGTAACCTTTCAAACATTTAAATATATTTTCCTAAAGTTGCGAGCTTGCTTTAAGTTTAGGTTTCTTGCGAAAGCCAATCGTATTACAAATACCTTCCTAAATATTGTTCCTCCCAAAATCTCCGCTTGTTTCAAATATATTTTTCCAAATTTGAAAAACAATCGAATGAGGGGAGGGGTCTCTAACACCTTCCAAATGTAGCTGAATAAATATTTTGGCTGGGTACAAGTAATTAAGTAAGTAAGGCTAAGTACTAGATACTTAGATACTAGACTTTTTGGTGTAGTTTCGTTAAGCGGTCGTTCTTTTTTACTTAATAGATTTAAATAAGCTGCTCTTACTCAGTAGAAATTTATTACATTTATAAACAGTACATTTTTAAATAGTTCGTTAGATGATTGCCATTTATTTGCTCTGTGACATTATATAAGAAATATAACTTACAGTAGTTGAAGACAGTTTTACATTATGCTATTTTCATGCTAGCCAAGAGCCATGCAAGACAGATCATGGAACTGCGCATGCCCACGGGCTATTTCTATGCAATTCCTATGCTAGACGAAAAATTAGAACATGTTCTATTTTTCATGCTATTTTCTTGCAATTTATCGTTAAAATTCATGTTGCCAACATAACAATTTATAATAGATTACAGAATAAAACATAACCTTATCTCTATTCAGGAGCTTAAGGAAAGTTGACTCGTTCATTCGAAAAAAGTTTTTAAAACTTCTCTAGCATCCAAGAACTCTTAGGGTAATTTCAAATTTCCCAGTCCTGCATTCAACCAAGGTTTGACCCAGCATTTTCTAGGTTTTCTTTTTTTATTATTTTTCATGATTGTTGCTACAACAGCAATATTCAACAATAACAATGTTTTCTTTTCTTTGGTTGACATCCTTCACCCTTTTAATAACCATAAATAGTGTATATTTATTTATTATATTATTTATTTTAGTACTTAATTATATTTATTTAAAATAAAATAACCTCAAATTGATAAACATTTTCTCTGTTGGCAACAATGAAAGTGGAATCTAAAATTGTACAGAAATATCTCTGATGTAAAAAGGTCAAGCTAGGCAAGAGATGTGCCATGCAAGACGGACTTGCATAGCCTAGATGTAAAGCTGCCTTGATACACGATCGGATCATTCACCGGTATGGCTGCTTCGTTTGGCAGTTGACACTTAAAAAGAGGGCTTTCTGTGTGCAATCTTTCGCAGAGTCAAATTTTATAGAGCGCGGTGTTGCAGCGAAGGGAAATAGGTAGAAGCGTTGTGCAAGGTTGGATTAAGTTCAGACACAAATTTTCTAAAAAAAATTATCTACCATATCGGTATACATATAAGTTATTGCCAGGTACGAGTATTCAGCATTCAGATCTATGTTAGTTTCTTGGATATTTTGAAATTTATTCGAAATACAAATTAATATTTTATTTTTGTTTAATTTGCAGAAAGTGCCAAAAAAGAACAACAGCAGCAACAACAGCAGCAGCAACAGCAACAACAACAGCGCCAACAGCAACAACAGAAGTTATCGAGTAGTAATACGATTAGCCCTCCTCAAATGTCACCTCAGCAAATACAAACGTTAAACCAAAAAATATTAGCGCGCAAGATGACTCTTCCGAGTGTAGCAAACGCGCGCGTTCTTAGTCACAATAACCTAATAGCTCTCAATAATAATCGAATGAACTTACAGGAATTGCAACTGGGGCAGCAGCAGCCGCAGACTATAACTCTAACTTCAGTTAATAGTAGCAACTATCCTGGTTTTACTACAGTTCCTGTGAAACAACAAGTGGTTAATCAAAGAATCATAGGTAGTAGTACTAGCGATAGTAACAAGTCTGCGTTATCCGCGTTGTTAGTGGGTACACCGGCAGCCGATAGGCCAGATATTGTAGGACCTAATACAAATTCGTTATTGTTAGAAAAATTAGGGGATTCGCCAAATAGTTCGCAACAGACTCATTTTATACAAAGTCCCAAGAGCAATCAACAGTTCATGGTACAATCTCCGAAAGGAAACACAATGTCGAGTCCTCCGCCTCAAACAGGTGGGACAATTAACGTGCAGGGTTTAAACATTGCCCAATTACAAAGTATACCGGGTATACAAGTACAATTGCAGGGCTTCGCTCAGCCTATATCGCTTTCGCTTAATGTTTCTTCAACGGGAAATATTCAAGGACATCCCACGAGTTTAATAGTTTCCTTACCTGTTACTACTGCCACGCAAACTTCTAATACGGTAACTCAGGCAGCCGGTAGTAGTAATGTAAGTGGCGTGAACAATTTAGGAGTGGCTCCTCAGACTGTGGTGTTAGCAAACGCTGGTACATCTAATTTAGGTGAGTAATATTTTTCTGTATGAGGTATTGATAGTGTATTGGTGCTACAAAAACTTACGCTTCAGGCCTTGTGGGGTAACTATGGTACCCCACTAATAATTGAGGCTATGAGAGCAAGAGTGGGCTAACCCCAAATATTGAATAATGGATTTACATGAACCAAGAATGTAAGCGTTTTTTTTGAAATTTTATATAATTAAAATATGATGCCAAAAGGTAGTCATTGTTTACAAATTGAAGGGCTTAATGTGAAACAATGACAAGCCTCAAAAAGGTAAAAGTGAGATATTTGACTTTGAATGTTAAAAATAATATTAAAAAACCCAGTAACAACTTTTGTTGTTTTAGTTTAGATATGTCGATGCATCATGCCATATGGAACTATAGTTACAACAATATTAATAAAATTACTCCAAACTTGAGAAAAAAACGATCTTTATTTAAAAAAAATGTGGCTTGTCACATTATTACATTAATAATATATACCCAAAATCTTATTTAATCAACGAGCTCGGCGACCTCATCAGCAACATCAGGACTGACATCCTCTCGTAAACTATTGTAGAAGGGATGATACACTGAAGGTATGTAGGGTAATAATGACCTCACATTTTCGATTTTCTTTTTTGCAATCCGAATGGGCTCAATATACTTCTGTTGTAAAGCAGATACAGTAAGCACATTTGGACGTCCCTTCTTGACAACAGTAACGGGGTTGTAGGTACCATTCACAGAATGCTTAACGTAAAATGCTTTTGTGTTATCACTCTTGAATAAAAAGGAAAAAACATTGGAAAAATCCAAAGGCTGCTGGTCATCAGTGCGAGTACTCTTTTTAATGTTCTCTAAGAGTGGTTGTACATTGAGAAAATCTTCCTGCTTCATAACAGTTAAGTTGAAGGGTTTCTTTTTATTAGATTCTTTTATAATTTTATGCCACTCCTCAGGAGAGTACACAAGCGGAGCATACTTTCTATGTCGTTTTTCTATAAGAGCAAAATCCCTGTCGGAGGGAAGGTGAGTGTGTCCGCTGACTAAAAAATGGTGTGTAATAGACTTAAACTTTTGTTCCTTCACTAGCTGGAACCATAAAGACATTAAAAGCCAGTTTTTGTTTTGCCCGGGACAATTATCCGCGAAGAAAACGAGATGTTCTACTTCACCTATCTTTGAGCTTACAAATTTTATGAGTATTGATGCAATTTCATCACTTCCTCTTTTTGCAATGTTTTCCGTCCAGACAAACATATGATCAGCGTCTTCCGTACAATCATGGATTCCTAGATTATACATCCAGATTCTCCTGCAATAAAATGCAGGACCAGTGGTTAATTTGGGAATCGGTAAGGCTTGCTGCAAGTCAAACGATATAACACATATCTTTTTATCAATAATTTTTGACCGGGCTGTTTCGCTCTTTCAGTAATTGTTGCATTGCCTGAGCCTTACACTTGTGCAAGTTAAGTCTTTGTTAATTCGCTATAATCTTTTTTTTTTCTGATTTTGCTGACTCTATTTGGATATTAATATCGTTGCATATCTTACAAGTGTCTGATTTTGGCAGCTTGATTCCAATATTATACTCTGTACAAAATATCTTACGGTAAGTATGCTCCTTAACTGGTTTAATTCCCTCTTCTGTACACCAAGGGACATATCGATCCGAATAGAGACTGTCTATACTCATGTTATGGTGCAGATAAACTTTATTCATATTCTCTTGTCGACTGTAGTGACTTTGATACTTTGGAATCGAATGTATGTGGTTTGTAACACTTAGTAATTCCGAATCAGATATTTTGTTCACACGGTTTGTATGCTTTCCTCTGTTGTCTCTTTCTGGCACTAGATTTCCTTCTATCTTCTTGCGAACGGAGTAGACTGCATTGCTCTTTCTATGCGATTCTTGATGTTTTTGCTTCTTTTGGTAGGACCTTTTCTTCTTAACAATATCTATACATCCGAATAAGTAGCTATTTTGTAACTCCCATGAACCAAGGTTCCAAAACTCGTTAAAAATATGGCTCTCGTGGCCCTGAAGCTTTTCCCTACACTTCTTAGTGCAACTGCAAGGCGGTCCCAATTCTCGACCAGGCACATTTTTTTTTGTTTTGTCGCTTACATATGGTTGTCCTAAATTTCGTCGAATTTTTCTTTTTGATCTTGAATAACAGTGTTCATTTCTTTGTCTCCATCGACTTGTTGGGGTTTTGTCGGGTGTGTTTGGTTTTGTCCTTTTTCTTGACGGACCTTGTTCATTATCCTACAACAAAATGCAATAATATAACAAGCCATATCACAAGCCACAACAATCATACTTTAATCTTAAATGGTAATAATGTGACAAGCCACATTTAACAGAAAAATTACATACCGCTGTATTTTCATCACCTGAGTCACTTCTAGATTGTACATAGTCAGGATCACGGTCACTGTCATCGAATGTCGACTGAACTTCAGTATTTTTCTCGCTAGAATCGTCAGAACTCACAGAAACATCCGCACCGCTTCCGCCCATATTCGCCATTTTGATGTGGCTTGTCATTATGTCGAGTAGATACTAAGACAAACTAGATCTATGCAACACTGTTATCATAGGTTTGTCGCCCCATCTATTACCGAAGGGCTGAAATAAATTTTTGGTGGCTTGCTATACTATTACTTTAACCGAGCATAGCACTAACTCTTTTTGAACTCGTGTGTGGCTTGTCATTGTTTCACATTAAGCTCTTCAATTATTAACTAATAACAAAAAACTCGAAGATCTTGCAGTACATTTAACAAAAATATAGAAATTTAAGCTTTTTTTTGTGGATTAGACCACATTTGCATCAGTTTACCCTTAAAAATGTTAATAGCAATGTGGATTAGACCTGCTTGTTAGATGTTGAAAATATGCTTTATTAAAAAACAAAGTAACAAAAATACTTAATCTTCATCGTTAATCAACTCTTCTTCTTGCTGTATAGTGGATCTTATTGTTCTGGTGCTTGTGTAAAATCCAGAATGCATTGGAGGTATCAATGAAAGTAATTCCAAAAGACCTTTTTTTTTGCTTCGGTTATTGGGCTTCCATCGGGAAAAAGATAATCTAGCTAATGCATTCCCTGGATGTCCTCTTTTTGACATCTAGTGAGTAAAAGAGAACTTCTGCATTATTGCTGTATTTGTAGTAAATTGTAAATGGATTTATTTTCTTGTTTGTGTATCAATTTTGCGATTTGTTATATTTCTTTCTAACTTCTTAGTAGGATAAAAATCGTTTTCTGTCATCTTTATTACCGTAAGATGTGCTTTCTTTCGTGCATGTGCTATTAACTTTATTCAGTCGTTAGGTACGTAGATATCTTTAAAAAAAATGTTTGCTTACTTATTACTCCGAAATCTTGGTCACAGGCAAGATCAGAATGTCCGCTGACTAAAAACTTATGATCAATATTTTCCACCCCAATATCAGGATGTGACACTCTCTCTTTAATCCTGACCCCCCAGGGGGAGTGTAGTGGTCGACGTGATGTCGTGTATTGTCCGTCTCCAGAGATCTCTGTCTCTGGTCATTTCTTTCAATTCATGCATAGGTCTTTGGCAAATTCCTGTAATTTGATCTATCCATCTTGTTGGGGATCTTCCTCGTGATCTTCGGCCTTCTACCTTTCCTTGTATTATGAGTCTTTCCATGTTTTCTGTGTTTGCTCTCATAACATGCCCAAAATATTTTAATTGTTGGAGATGGACTTTACTAGAAAGTCGTTGGCTAACTTTTAGCTCTCTTAAAATTGAATTATTTGTTCTAACGGTCGGTCTAAGGAATTCGTAACATTCGTCTCCAACAGAACATTTCAGTGGCGTCTATCTTTTTTCTCTCCGATTGTCTCAGAGTCCAAGATTCACATCCGTAGGTCAGTATTGTGAATATTGATAATTGATAATAAGCAGTTGATCTCCCTCATCTTTATCGCTCTTGAAATTTGACATTCCTTCCATATTTTGGTAATTTTTGCTGTGGCAACTTTTGCTAGATCACATCTACGTTTAATCTCTTCTTGTAATGACCCTGTGTTTGTGATTAATGATCCCAGATATAAGTATGAGGTCACAACCTCGACCCGGTCAATTGTGGTTATGTGTGGATGATTGTTGTTTAGTCTATCCACTATCATGATCTTTGTCTTTGATATGTTTAATTGCAGACAAAATATTTGACTTTCGTTTTCGATCAGTCGTATAAGTTTCATCAGCTCTGCTTGACTATTTGCAAGAAGGGCTGTGTCATCTGCGAAACGTAGGTTGTTTAGTTTATGACCATTTATTGAGATGCCCTTTTCCCTTCCTTCAAGTGCTCTTCGCATAATATACTCTCCATATATGTTGAATAATTGTGGAGATAGTATACATCCTTGTCTGACACCCCGTTATGGATGAAACTCGTTCGAAAGTGTGTCAAGTACTTTAACTGATCCAGTAGTGTGTTCATATAGTTCAGTTATAAGCGTAATTAGATGTTGTGGTACGCCTACTTCTTTTAGTATTCGCCATAAGTGTCTCCACTTGACCCTGTCGAACGCTTTACGGTAATCTATAAAACAGATGTATAGTGGGATGTTGAATTCCCTAGATTTCTCGATTATCTGTCTTATATTCAGCAGGTGTTCTCGAGTGCCTCTACCTTTGGTAAATCCAGTTTGCTCTTGTGGGATTTCTCTTTGAAGGAATGTTTTCAGTCTCTCATTGATTATATGTAGCATTATCTTGCTGGCATGGGATATAAGAGAGATAGTTCTATAATTGTCGCATTTATGGAAGCTGCCTTTTTTATGTATGGTCGTTATTGTAGATTTTGCCCAGTCTTCAGGCCATTGTTTGGAATGCCATATTTGGTTACAGAGTAGATGAAGTAACTTTACGCCGGTTTCTTCTGTGGCTTTAAGCATTGCTGCTGTTATCATATCTGGACCTGGTGCTTTGTTATATTTGAGCTTGTTGATAGCCTGTCGTAGTTCGTTTTCGAGTATATCAGGTTCTTTTTTCACCTCGGCAGAGATTTGGCTAACAAGCTCTTGGCGTTGATCATCTTTATATAGGTCCCTGCAATACGATCTCCATGTCTCTGCTATGTCTTCTCTGTTTGTTCTCAGGGTTCCAGTGTTATCTTCAATGGCCCAAGTTCTGGCTCTCTGAAGTCTCTTGTCAGGTAGCATATTTTTCTAAATAGATCTCTCGGCTGATTATTCTGACCATGTCTCTCAATTTCTTTGCATAGGATGTGACACAATAACATCGCAATGGACAGCCATTTTAATGTTACGGTTTAGCCTTCTGCATTGATCGGAATATAGTATTACATTTTTTGTTGTAACATTTTTAAAATAATGCAGTAAACAGGATCCTATTTCTTGAGGTCCTCGTGATGCTTGTATCTCGTTCCAAACATACATATGAGCATTATTAGTAGCCAAATTATGGACTCTTAAGACGTAAGTCCACAACTGGCGTTTATAGTAAGAAATTACAGTGCTGATAACTGGTGTGGGCAACGTTCGCATCATGTCAAATGCAATCGCTGTAATTTCTTCAGGATTTTGTTTTGCATACTCTGCATCTTGTTTCATATCACATCTAGCACGGTCTGCTTTTCGTTGGTTAACCTCCAGTGTTACTTCAAATTAACATTTTTCTGCTTGAACTGTTGAGAACTTTATTTTATTGTTATACAAATCACATTTTTTGCACGAATCCGTAATTGGTGCATGGAATCCAATATTAAATTGGGTATTAAATATTTTTCGAAATATGTGGAATGAGACAGGATTACGTATGTTCTCCTTTGCAAAAGTTATAATGGATTCCTCAAAACTGGTCTATCCTACAAAGGGGATGGTTATCCCACTCTTGCATTCTTTTACGTATTGATGTATTGAACAATTTTGATCTATTCCACAACTTTGTGGGTTAGCCCATTCGTGTTTTCAAATTTTTGTTATTTTCTTAATGCAAAATCACCTTACAGGAGAGATTTATGTTATAATATACGGAAATCTTGGTTAGACCGGTTTTGCTTTAAAACTTTAGATGGTTAGAAGTGATTGCTATCTATAACTTAACTATCAACAAAATGTTGGTTAGCCCACTCTGGCTCTCATAGCCTCAATTCATTTAAATTATACATTATTGCTTGGGAAGTTATACAATGAAGCGCTAGTAACTAAAATAATTTGTTTTTATTATTGAAAAAATATACATTGTTTTTATTTTTACCTTTAACTAAAATCTTTAAATTCATAATTTTACAGCCAGGGCATACAAATTTTTTACTTTCTTCTCGATGTATGTTGCAAATGGGTTTTCTGCATATACAACATGATATTTTAGCCTTTCTATCCCGTGATACAGCACAAAGGCTGCATCTTCGATTTGTATAATGTTGAATTCCTCTAGCAGGGTTTTCTGATACTGTGGCATTACTGTTAGAAAGAAATACATCTATCGCGGTTTTTACAGTTTTGTGAAAATTATTGCTTTTCTGTTTCCGGTTTAGAACGTTTGGGAGTGCAAGTTCTTGTGCCAAGTTTTGTAAAAAAATGCTTCGCCTGCTCGGCCACTACTTTTCCAATCGGGAAACTTTTTAGTGAATATAATATAGGCATTAAGTGCAGCTATATTAATAATTTCCATAAAAATCCTAAATGGTCATCTTCTACGTGGACTAACATGTATATTCTTTGGTCATTTTATCTTTGGTGTCAACGGATTTTTGGTTTTATTATAGTATAAAATAATTTCAGGCTTACATTTTGCTTTTTCATCAGAGGATATTTCGTTGCTGTGAAACTGTGTCGATAAAAGAATAACTGCTTTCTCTTTGGTAGGAACATAGGGCACTAATGTGAGATAATTAGAAAATCCAATAGAGGAACGTTGTTCACTCGCAGAATTTGGAGCAAATTCAGCAGGAATCTCTTTTTTATTAGTCCTTAGAGTTCCCGTAATTATAAGTTGATTTCTTAGCAGTTCTTCGGCTAGGGGAATCGAGTTAAAAAAAATGTATGTAGTAACTCCACGTCCCGATCCAAAATAGGGTCTAACCATATCTAAAACTACTCTAAAACCTTGATTGACTTCTCGTTGTTTTTACATAATTCCAGTGCATATCTGACTGTTCAAAATATAAGCAGTATCTGAGTCCGCACAAACCCAAATTTTTATTCCATATCGACCAGGTTTAACAGGAAATTGATCCTATTCTACAAACAACTGTATTTATTAGATGGACAGGTAATAAACATGCTCAATAGTAACGTACCAATATCGAAAATTTTTATTATGAAAAGTTGTTTGTGTTAGAATTTGTTTTTCCCCAGTGATGGTAACTAATTAATACTGCTAGTATTCGATGTGGTCTGTACTTGAGCACCTAAATAATCAGAATTGGAAGATTTTTAAAACACAGCATTTATCATATTTTCATTTATAGTAGATACCAGGTGACATTTATATCAGGTTCTGGATCTGCTCTCTGGTTGCATCTCTAACTTCGTTTGTAATTTGAAACAAAATACTGTACAGCGATTTATCTTCAATATTACCTTCCCATTCATGTTTTTTTCTTTTTGGTGTTTTAAATTGGTCCAGGAGAACTACAATTCTCGATTCTAAATATTTAAGGAAAACTCTGGCTTTAGTGTTAATATCTTTAGTTTGAAACATATCGGGTTTTCTCAATATAATTTTACTGTAGTCCACATTATTTTCTGAAAAAAAAAAATACAGACGTGGTTTTAAATCCCTATATTATATTTGAGGTCCTTTTTGGATACTCACTCAATCGAGCCGGTGCCGTAGGTAAAAATGATTTAGTAATCTCCTAACCATTGGTCTCTATCTAATCTTTTTGAACATTTTTTCAGTTTTGTTTTATAGGCGCAAACACAGACATCTAATGGCTGGAGGATATGAGTAGCATTAGGGCACTAGGCAATTAGTAGCTATTAAAATTATTTAATTTTCTCTGCATTTACTTACATATAGGGTCAGATGGGATTAATGTCCATCTAATAAGACAAGAACGGGCAACTCTATTAGAGACTTCTTTAGGTAGGGTACAAAATCGGTCGAAAAATACTCAAAAAAAAAAACATTCTGCAGTCATCCAGTCTCTTTTACTTTTCCCTAACCCCAACCTTTAGAGGCTGCTTTACATAGTGGACGGAATCCGGTCAGTGAATGTTCACTACACTGTTATTTATACCTATTATAAAATTACGATTTAAAAAGATATAGTTATAATTTTTAATTATTTTACTTATTTTTTAATTCAATATAAAAACAACCGTCTAATTATGTTTATAGCTCAATTGATGACTTCCGGAGTAAAAGGAGTAACTCAACAAGGAATCAGAACAACATCGAGTCCACAGACGTTGTCTTTAACTCAAGGTGGACAGCCGTTTCAACTGATAACTCCTTTACAGAGGCCAAGAACTCAGCCGACAACTGCCCAGCAGCAAACATTGACTTCCAGAACACTGCAAAGAACACCCATTACCATAAAAATGGCCACACCAAGCACAAGTCAGTTGACTGATTTGCAACTAAATTTTGATAATTCATAGTCATTTGGTCAATAAATGCTTTAGTATCAGTATATAAATTCATGCATGATTTTAGTTTATTTTTTTTAATAACTTCGCTGTGATAAAAATGTTAAAAAAATAATTTTTACGCTCACTCAGATACTTCCCAAGTTTCGCTGGCCCCGAATTCTGCAATAGCAAGTCAACTTCAGAAGCAAGCCCAGCTTCAACAGTTCCAGCAAATCTGTTTGAATCAGCCTAACGTTTTGGGAAACATTAGAAGAAGGTCCAGTACGTCTGATCCCCAATAGATGTGTAATTTTTAAGCAGTCCAGTTTGTACATTACATTTTAAACTAGTCTTTATTTTTTGTAATTTTCTGAGAGATGTTGTGAGTACTTGATTATTGTTAACTGCCACTTATGGAGTCACGTCAAATTTAGATACATACTTATGGATTCTGTCCCTGATACAGAGTGTTTTATTAATAATTCGTAAGCAAAAAATGATAAATAGTACACTAAAAACTTATCTATTTCCCCCTACGTGTAGGTTGTTTTATTAAATCTATTTTAACATTGAGATTTATTTGTCAACTTTTAATAAGTAATATACTAGATTCATTCTTCTTCCCCCAAAAATAAAATCTAGAGGAGCCAAGTCGGGTAACCGAGGGGGTCATTTTATTGTACCGTCTCTACTGACACGTTTAGCAAAAATTAACGCTAAATAGTCTCTAACGGCTTTTGCATTATGTGCAGGACAGCGTCTTGTTGAAATCAAATTTTGTTGAAGTTAATTTGAAGATGTTGAAGTGCAAGATTAATTTGATTTTGTAGTCATTTGATATATTTGACTGCGTTTAAATTGCCTTCAATGAAAAAAGGACCAATAATATGGTCTCCCAAAATTCCAGTCCAAACATTCAACTTTTTTGGATACTGCGTACACACAGACACACTCAAAAGCTTATTCTCCTGAGATAATAACGTACAACGGATGGATTATATTTCTTGTGAATTGTGAAGGAGGACTCATCTGCAAACAAAATATTTTTTAAAACATTATTATTTGCATGGCATCTCTCCATCATAATTTCACAAAATTGCATCCGTTTAAATTGATCATCAGGAAATATTTCTTGAGTTGTCTGCACTTTATAACAATGGTAGTTGTTTCTTTTCAAAATATTCCTCACTATTTTAGTATTCAAATCAACTTTATCGACAATTTGTTTATTTGAACACTGCATCGCTTCAGCCATTGCACAAACTTGAATTCATCTAATTTCTCGTTCTTTAAAAAATTTTTTTTCGCGAGGTTGATCTGATGGGCAGCATTTTTTACATCTGCCATTAGTAAAGCCAAACTTTTCAAATTGATATTTTCAAAAGCCATAATAAATAAATTGATAGTTTCTTGTACTGAATTGCCCCAAAAGTACCATTTTATTATTTGTACTCGTTCTTCTGTTGTATAAACAGTCGGCATATTTAATTATTATCTTCACACTTACGAAGTTACCTTCAAAAAGAAATACATAGCATAGCATTCGACCTGTCTCATATGCATTTTACGATTCAAGACAACGGAGGAATGGCGATGTTGCCAAAATTATCTTGTTTTATTCAAAATTGGGTTACAATTTCGTCAAATAAAAATGCGAATCTGTAAATTTTTCATGGATTTAATAAATTTTGTACCAGTGTTTGTGTCAATTAGTGTTTCATTTTTAAAATTATTATCCAGTTTTGAATGGCAATATAACCGCGCCACTGATCGCCAATTTTTTAAATCAATTCAATGTTTTAATTCAAATATGTAATAAGGCAACCCTGTCGCTGTTTCTTACGTATAAGCTGATCGGAAATAATCGTTTGGCGTTCACTAGTGGCGCCATTTGTGGCACAAAATATATGATTTTATATTTGTGTTAGATATCCTAGTAAATTCTACTATACCTGCCGTAAACTTTTACCTACACCGTATATATATATATATATATATATATATATATATATATATATATATATATATATATATATATATATATATATAATTTCTTGTATTTGAAGTAGCCAATAATTTTAGTGAATCTACTACTTTTGGGATATACAGATTTTTTGGTTTTAAATTTTTTTATTAATTAATGATAATTTACAAATATATGTTTAATATTATTCACAAGCACTTTTAGTAAAACCTATCAAGGGACGTTAGGATCATTTTTATGTATCCAAATTTGCCTCCTGGTATTTTCTTTTGAAAAAAAGAGATTTGTGATCTCAATTTACTGCATTACATTGCACAATTTGACGTTGTTCCTATGTGTATAAATGTATTGGTGCCAAAAGTACCGTTCAGTGTTTTCCATAAACAAACTTAATGTAGATTGATGAATTTCATTTTGAGTTTTGTTTAAATTCACTGATTTGAAATAGATAATTCGTTGATATATTTGATATCTCTGAAATATAAAGTAATATATTACTGGTTACTAAATAATTAACTCAAGATGCTATAGTATTTACAAATAAATAACTTTGTGTTTGTACGACCTAATTTAGAATATTAATTTTGTAAACTCCTTATAAATAAAGACTCAGTTAAATGGGGAAAAATCGGGATTGAAAACTGATTAATAAGGCTACTAAATGAAATATTGAAATATGGACGTGAAAATCCAAAATATCCTTGATTTATTGATTATATTCATTAATTATACTAGTAACATCGGAATATTCTCTAGTAACATTCAAATCAGGTTTGAGTTTACCGAAAGTAGAAGCTAACATGAAATAAAATATTTTGGTTTGGCAGTGTTGGCATGTTTTTATAGTGCATATGTTGTAGGCTTCAAATATAAAGAGAGAAAGCTTTTATAAAGTACATTTTAATTATACCATTTTATGAATTCTGCCATTTTTTAATTTATATGAAACAATAATGAGTGAATAGTCTCTTTCGAGATTAATTGCAAACATCTGTTGCAATCTGGCAATTGCTGATTTGACGATTGTCAAATATATCCCCTAATCTATCAAAGGGCAATTGCCAAAAAATTTCTAATAACTAACTGCAATTAATCTCTAAAGACTTTTTAAAGTACTTTTCTAAAGCTTTATCTCTTTATATTTGAAGTATACATAAATACATACATTATAAAAACATGCCAACACTGTTAAACCGAAATTATTTGTTCCATGTTTGACATTTGCGGCTATAATCAGCTTGTACTTTCGGTAAACTCAACCAAAATCAGTAACATAAAATTGTTTTATTTTGCCAAATATTTCTTAATATTCATTTTTAATCTCTTGATATATGCGTTTTCAATATTTCTTCAGTACAGTAATTGTTAGTTTAGCATTTAAGAAGGATATGGATTTTTCGTCCTTTTAAATTCAAAATGACAATTCATCTTATATTACACCTCTGTCAATGAGGAAATCTATATATGTGTATTCTGTCTTTCTTTCCAATCAGTACAAATTAATTTATTATATATCTTGAATCATGTAGAACAATTGTGTGTATTTGCAACTATTGCAGTTTTACTTTTTAAATTGATACATATTTTTAAACCATCGATATATTGTATATAGGTATTGGGTAATTTTTTTAATTTATTTTTTCTTTATTAAATCACCTCAGTCTAATCGCCTCATAAATGTTTAAAAGATGCTGGTTTAACTTTTGTGTAATTCAGTTTTTATACATCTGAACACCGAGACATATTATTTTTAATAATCTCTTTCGGTTACAAAGTTGTTACAAAATAAGCATATGACAGACATCGCAAAATTTGGATTTGAAATCAAATACATATTGAATTTTAATGTTTTATCTCTTTTTTAAAACATAAACACAGTACACTTAAATTTGTAGATATTTTGAGGGGTAATATCACAGTTTTATTTTATGAGATAATTTTTTTTTACGAAAACTTGACTTTAGAAATTTGACGAGACTGGAGCATTTTTACTTACTTCAGTTTGTTCGAGTCTGAATTTTAGTACTGAAATAGAAATTTATAGAGAAAATAAAAACTAGACTGCTATTTGGTAAGACGCACACGAATGCAATTAAAAATTAAAAAAAAATCTCTCGACTAAATAGTTAGATGGAAGTTGAGACTTCCATTTAACAGTTTATTTTGAAATTTGGATTTTTATATCTTTTAATCACGTTGGTACATAATGTTATTCAAAACGAACTAAAGAACAATAATACTACTAATTTAATTGTGGCTCAGTGGTAAGAGCGCCTGCCTTTAAACCTAAAGGTCGTGAGTTCGAATCCCACCTGGGTGGAAATTTTCGTTTATTAAAAAAAATTAATAAATGAAAATAATTTCTATCCTTGTGTGATCGGTACACACCGGAGGGACCGCAGACGTTCGGATACAATTAGCGTCTCTTAGCAAAGACAATGACGTCGACTTAGCTAAGTATCAAGACAATTACTCTACACACACACACACACACACTACACCTCAAATTGTAAGATTGGCGAATGGATTTAGTGTCCGCAGTCATTTAAACACAAACAAACAACAACAACTAATTTAATTGTTCTGTGAAGTATAAAATACTTCGAAACCTTTTGGCATATGTAAAGGAACTACACTATGCTATCAATCAACCAATTTGTTTCCAATTTAGTAAAGATAATTGTTTCCTATATCTTGCGTTTTGACCAATAGGACCTATTTTAACTTTTTACTTGATTTTTATACTGTATAACGAAAAATACGGTTTTGCTCATTTTCTTATCTGTTCCATGTTAATTTGCGCTGCATAATATTTTTGTTTCTCTGACTGTCCATTCAATAAAGTCGTAAAATTTGTTTCATAATAGAAAGAAAAAAAATTTCATAAGAAAAAAAATTGAATCGTTTAGTTCTCTTTAGCTCTCTGCCCAGGTATATGAAGCTTTGGGAACTCTGAAGGGTGAAACCATTTATTTGTATGTTAGGTGTAACTTGTTCATGGTGGTTTTTGTGGAATACCAGAATTTTTGTTTTGGAAAAGTTATGTCCACGCCTAGCCTGTGACTTTCTTCTGATAATA